GAAGATTGAATTCACCAGTGGGAGAAAGGATAGAGAAGTAACCAGTGAACTAAAGTATGAACAGCTAGCAGGAGCGAAGGCCTGGTAGCACACAAGTGTATGACCTGTCCACACCAGACACAGGGTGGAGAAGTTGCCAGAACGACAGGTCGGGGCCAAGTTTGACCATCGTGGCAGCCCTGGAGAACAATGTGATCAAATCTGTGGTTTACAAAAATAACCCAGCTACCTCCAGGAGGATGAAATACATAAAAGAGAGTTTGAAAGCAGGGAATCTGTTCTGAAACAGATTGTTGCAGCCTGAACTGGGGCAGCAGCAATGAGAATGGGGAAGTGAGGACAGAGTTGACAGGGACTGGAGAGAGGGGATGAGAAGCACTCAGTAATCAGCTGGACATAGCAGCAGAGGAAGGATATAGAGATGACTCCGTATTCCAGCAGAAAAGCAGGAAGAAAGTGAGTTTGGGAGAGAGATAATGAGTTCAGTGCTATAAATATTAAGTTTGGGGTTTCTGCAGGAAGAAAATCAAGTGGGGAGCTTCAAGTACAATTCCGGAGTGCAGGATAGACCCATTCAGGATGGTGGGGTGAACGGAATGTAGAGAAAAAAGGGAAAGTGAGCACTTTAAAAAAAAAGAGTCCTTGCATCTTCATAGCCCAGCTGGCTCTACAAAATGGAACCACAATTGGACAACTACCTCTCCAAAATTGCTCCTCTGCACCAGGAAAACTGATTCACCCACTGAACCTTAACATGCTTGTTAAGTGTACTCATCCTGTGCCTTTTCTTTCTGTTATTCAACATATATGAAGCATTCACTATGTGCCAGACGCTGTTCAAGATTCGGAGATGCAGACACTGAAGCTCAAAGCCCCACTGCTGGAGAGTTTATGCTTTAGTGCAGGCAGCAGCCAATAAGCAAGCTACCAAATAAATACAAAATAAAATTTCAAGTAAATAAATGCAATGAGGAAAAATAAAGCAGGCAAGGGACTGGGGGAGGGGAGATGAAGGAGTACTATTGAGATCAGGTAATGGTCAGGGAAGGCATCTCTTTTGTTTTACTTTCTTGCCTTTTACTTTTATTTTTATTAGCATATTATTATTGTACTGGGGGTACATTGTGACATTTACAAAAGTTCTTACAGTATATCTTAGATAGATCCACCCCCTCCATCGTTCTCCTTTATCTTCCCTCGCACCTTCTTGGAATAGTTTCAACAGGTCTCATTGCTCCATTTTCATACATGAGTACACAATATTTCTACCATATTCGCCCTCCTACACCCTTTCCTTACATCCTTCCTCCTCCCACTGGTACCAACCCCCAGATAGGACCTGTTTTATTTTCCTGTCCCTCATTTTTGAAAAAAGGCACTTTTGTTCGTTTAAGATAGCTATATAGGGAGTTTCATTGTGACATTTCCATGTATGTATGTATTATATCCCAAACTGGTTCATCACTCCAATTTTTTCCTTTCCACCTTAGAGTGATTTCAACAGGTTTAAATAGTCTATATTCATCCTTGTATACAACCACATTCACCTTCTTTTACCCTCCTCCTCCCATTAGTGCCTTCCCCTTAGCGTGACCTGTGTTTCATCCTTGTCCAGGGAAGGCACTTGATGAAGCGACAGTTTGAATGAAAATGATGAAGAAAGCCGTGTGAAAACTTAGAGGAAGAGTGTTAGGCAAAGGGAAGAACAAGTACAAAGACCCTGAGGCAGGAATTGGCTTGGGATGTTTGAGAAACAGCAAGGCACACTAGCTGGAATAGACAGAACAGTCCCAGGGTGTTGTATCTTATGATAGTTCTATCACCTGAGCCATGCCTCCAGGCCTTTTTTTTATTATTTGTTATATTATTTACTTTTGGTGATACTCAGTGCCTCGTGCTTGCTAGGCAGGCACTCTACCATTTGAGCCATTCCGCCAGCCATCTTATTATGATATTTCTATACTATTGTCTTATATTACAAATAGCATTGTAAAAAAGTTCATGGATTTATAGCCTTTCTTCTGAACTCTGTTAGCCTATTGAGGACAAGGACTGTGTTTAACATTCATAGGGCATAACGCCTAGGACATAGTCAGTGCTCTTTCTCCATTCATTTCTCTGTAATTGTGGATTAGGATGTCTAGGCCTGCCTCGCCCACTCCTGAACACTTTTGGACTAATCCCAAATGTGCTTGCCATCTAGCAAGCAACTGGGGAGCTATTTCTAATTCTGCTGTGGTCAATAAGACGCCCAGGCTATGCCTAGAGCAACATAAAAAGGCCAAACCCAAGATTCATCCCACTCTTTACAAACCTGATGGTTTTTCTTAGACTGTAATAGATAAGACTGAAATAGGTGGCAATTGTGCACAGGCTCAGAGAAGCTGTTTGCTTTGCGACAGTTTTACACTTAAACATTACAATAATATTATTATTATCCCACAGGGGTGTCATGAGGATTAATGAGACATTTTCAAATCACTTTGAGCTACTCCGTTGGGGGTACTAAATAAATGGTATGTGTTCCTTCTGAAGTGCCATTTTTGACATTGATTTGTTGAGATGGGCTCTGCTGTCCAACAGGGCTGGAATGCACCCACCAACTCATTTCCTACAGGCAATAAAGTAGCCGTCAGAAGGCAGTGGTTTTCGGTTAAAATAAATATGAATTGGAGTGAACTAGTCAGCAATCAGAAGCAAATAGGCTGCTGTTAGAAATCCAGTATTTATTAAGTACTCACAGGGATCAACATAAGAGTTTCACAGTGTGATACAGTACAGCAAACACTGAACTTGGAAACGGCCCAAGATTTTAGGCCCGGCTCTGCGACTAACTAACTACGTGAGCTGAACAAATTGCTAAACTTCTCTAAGCCTCAAATATAAGATAAGGGCTGTCCTAAGAAGCTTGTAATCAGAGTCTTCCAGACAAGTAAAGGCAAAAAGGAGTGGAAATATTCATTCCTGAAGGAGACATACTTCACAGCAGGGAGAAACTTGTGACCATCCATCACAGGACCATCTTCTGTGCTAGTCTTCTTTCCCATTGATTAATATTAATTTCAGTACTAATTCCTGCAAAAAGGAGGAATAAATCACTTTCCAACTCAGACTTGAAGTGCATGAAACATTTGGTCTTTTAAAAATAGGGTCTTTACCTTCCTATTAGCTATCCTTGTATCAAGCAGTTGATCTCATTCTTAAATATATGAATGATTGATGATACAGTTACCCTAAGTCACCAGCTCAAATAAGGTACATAAAATAATGAGGTGACTGTCATACAAGCATTGTTCTGGAGTTTCGTGAGAGTGTTTTACATGGTTGCCCAGTTTTTTCATCTCACAATATACATTACTACCTGTAATGCCCAGCACTGAGCTGGACCTGAAGTGAAAGATGAAGGAACATAAAAGAACACGGGTAGTTGTTGTGACCAGAACAGCTGAAGGTGGAAATTCTGTGGAATAATCGAGTAATGCACTGTACTGTGAGCTCAGTCTTCCCTCACTCCTTATCCCAGAATCCAAGCGGGATCCTGACCCCAAAAAGAAGAAAATGTTGCCCTTCCAGAGCAGATAGAAATGCAGAGAATCATTTGTTAGACAGTTCAATTCAACAAGTATACACCGAGTTCCCACTATTTACAAAGCACTTTGATAGTTGCTAGGAGTAGAAATTGGGTAAGACCCACCCTACACCTCCATCATGGACGGAAGTGGTGCTGGGAAGAAATGACCATGAATCACTCTTACATCAATTTGAATTGTCAGCTCATTTTGGATGGATGAGGAGTAGTCTAGACAACAGTTCCTCTTTTGTAAATGACTTGAATGATACAACAGAAAATGAACTTTTATACTAGGGTTGACTAACACTGGGGTTGCTAAAATTTTTGGAAACAGAAATTGTGCTCCAAGTGACCACAACAATTTGGAGAAATAGTTTAAGTGCAAAGGGAATAAATGTAAATTATCTCTGGGCCTAAATCAAGCAACAGAGACACAACTAGCACTATGAATGTTCTAGTTCCAGTTTAACAAGTAGAACGTGACAAATTCCTTATCACAGGGAAGTGGTGGCATTGTATTAAGTAGAGTCTAGAACAGGTCCTGCTCCTCTCCTTCCCACAACACACTTAAGTGATACAGCTGGGCTTTGTAAGACAGGGATTAGACGCGGTGAGTTTCCTTTTTCATTTTCCCCGACAGGAAATCTGTGTGCTATGAAGACTAGACTGCCCTGTCTAATCCCAACCAGAAATGTGGTCCTTTATTCTGCCCAGTGTGAACTATTCACTAAGAAGCAAGGTCCAGGAAGGCCTTTAATGACCCATTTCTTTCAGGCTCCAGGGGAGAAACCCATCAGCACCCATCACTCCTTTGGGAGTGATCCAAGCATAGGTTAATTATTTAGAACGTACATCCCACCTGGGTCTTAGCGGTCCTCTACCCACCAGAGAGCTCGGACGCTGGTGTTAGGCTTGCCTCTTGCCCAGGGCCCACCTCGCCTGTATTCCCTTCCTGGACAACGCTGGAGCCCACCCCGGGGTCACCTCTTGTCTTCACTCCTCTCCTGCCTTGATCTTCTGCTACCTCGGCTCCTGTGAACCTGCCTCCCCGGGGCGGGCAGCCCCAGGTGGCCTGTGAAGGGCCAGAAGGCCTGCACTGGCTGGCCGAGGTGTGGTCCCTGCGCAGATCTAGCAGCCTGGCGATTGGGATGCGGCCGTGCGGGCCTCGCAGGAGGGGGCCGCGCGCTGACCAGAAGCAAAGCCGAGCCTGGGGCCGAAGCTTGGTGACCGTACTCCCCAAGGGGCTAGCTCGGCTGGGTAGGGGCTCGGGGGAGAAAGGGTGGCGAGGTGCAAGATGAGGGTGACAAAGAGCGGCTAGCAGAACGGCAGCGAGGGGCAGGCTGGCCCGCGGCTCCCTCCCCCCCACGCTTTCCCCCCGGCAGCGGGGCGCGCGCCCGCGCGGTGGGCGGGAATCGTGGGGGACGCGGAGGGGCGGGCGCGCGCCCCGCGGGGAGGGGGCGGAGGAGGGGTGAGGAGGCGGCGCAGCGCGCACCGCGCCAGACCCAGACGGAGCCCGGCCGCGGCCGCAGCAACAGGCGGCGGGCTGGGCTCGGGGGGCGGAGGCGGCGAAGGGGCGGGGGAGCGCGAGGAGGAGCGACCGCCGCCTGTTCCCCGCCGCATGGACGAGCATCTCAGCCTCCTGAGCTCGCCGCCGCAGCCCTCCGCCCGCCACCGCGCCCACCCTCCGCCGGACCCCGCGAGCAGCGGAGCTGGCGGCGCCCACACCCTGGTGAACCCCGGCTACGCCGAGCCCGCCGCAGGCCCCGAGCTGCCGCCGGACATGACCGTGGTGCCTGGGGACCACCTGCTGGAGCCGGAGGCGGCCGACGGTGGCGGGGGCCCGCCCCAGGGTGGCTGTGGCGGCGGTGGCGGCTGTGACCGCTACGAGCCGCTGCCACCCGCGCTGCCCGCAGCCGGGGAGCAGGAGTGCTGTGGGGAGCGAGTGGTCATCAACATCTCGGGGCTGCGCTTCGAGACGCAGCTCAAGACCCTCTGCCAGTTCCCGGAGACGCTGCTGGGCGACCCCAAGCGTCGCATGCGGTACTTCGACCCGCTCCGCAATGAGTACTTCTTCGATCGCAACCGACCCAGCTTCGATGCCATCCTCTACTACTATCAGTCCGGGGGTCGCATCCGCCGGCCGGTCAACGTGCCCATCGACATCTTCTCCGAGGAGATCCGCTTCTACCAGCTGGGCGAGGAGGCCATGGAGAAGTTCCGCGAGGACGAGGGCTTCCTGCGCGAGGAGGAGCGACCCCTGCCCCGACGCGACTTCCAGCGTCAGGTGTGGCTGCTCTTTGAGTACCCCGAGAGCTCCGGGCCGGCCCGGGGTATCGCCATCGTGTCAGTGCTCGTCATCCTCATCTCCATTGTCATCTTCTGCCTGGAGACGCTGCCCGAGTTCCGCGACGAGAAGGACTACCCCGCCTCGCCGTCGCAGGAGGCCTTCGAGGCGGCCAGCAACAGCACGGCGTCGGGGGCCCCCAGCGGAGCCTCCAGCTTCTCCGACCCCTTCTTCGTGGTGGAGACGCTGTGCATCGTCTGGTTCTCCTTTGAGCTGCTGGTGCGCTTCTTCGCTTGTCCCAGCAAAGCCACCTTCTCAAGAAATATCATGAACCTCATCGACGTCGTAGCCATCATCCCTTACTTCATCACCCTGGGGACCGAGTTGGCTGAGCGACAGGGCAACGGACAGCAGGCCATGTCCCTGGCCATCCTGAGGGTCATCCGCCTGGTGAGGGTCTTCCGCATCTTCAAACTCTCCCGCCACTCCAAGGGGCTGCAGATTCTGGGGCAGACGCTGAAGGCTTCCATGCGGGAATTGGGGCTGCTCATCTTCTTCCTCTTCATTGGCGTCATCCTCTTCTCCAGCGCTGTCTACTTTGCAGAGGCGGACGACCCCACTTCAGGTTTTAACAGTATCCCGGATGCCTTCTGGTGGGCAGTGGTCACCATGACAACAGTCGGTTATGGTGACATGCACCCAGTGACTATAGGGGGTAAGATTGTGGGCTCGCTTTGTGCCATCGCAGGTGTCTTGACCATCGCTTTGCCAGTTCCTGTGATTGTTTCCAACTTTAATTACTTCTACCACCGGGAGACAGAAGGCGAAGAGCAAACCCAGTACATGCACGTGGGAAGCTGTCAGCACCTCTCCTCTTCAGCTGAGGAGCTCCGAAAAGCACGGAGTAACTCAACTCTGAGTAAGTCCGAGTATATGGTGATCGAAGAGGGGGGTATGAACCACAGCGCGTTCCCCCAAACCCCTTTCAAAACGGGCAACTCCACTGCCACCTGTACCACGAACAATAATCCCAACTCCTGTGTCAACATCAAAAAGATATTCACTGATGTTTAATATATGATGCCAGTGACCTACCGTGCTCGGTACTGTGTGGAACGTGCCCCCTTGGTCTGTGTATGCCCTTGTTTTGTACATTTCCAGACCATTCACCAAGGAAAGGATATGAAGAAGCGGGACGCTCACCTCATTCTCCCTCTCCCCACTGCTTCATACTGAACCAGGTGCCTGTTTTGCAAGTGGGCTGCATTCTTTCAGCTCTCTTTTTTTCTTCCCTCCTCCTCCTTCTTAATTCTGTGAACAACAAACTTCCATTAAACTCAATTTCTAGGACACACCCTATTTAAAAAAAAAAAGCACATCCTGAGAGGAAATGAAACTAAAGAACAGTTAGACTGTTTAACCTCAAAATTAAAAGGTATTTGTTTCTTTACTAAGTAAAGCAGGCAAATACAAGAAAGCTTCACTTTGATGGAACTTTCAACATTATTTACTGAATATTTAGTTCAATTTCCTACCCTCTGAATATGTGGATGGAACGTCTAACCAGAAAGATGACTTCTAAGCCCACCATAAGTTTACTTGGTTTTTGACTGGAGTTTCTGTTTGAGTGTCTCCTCCCGGAATCTTAAGGTTCTTACAATTTTGAACAAAGGGAAATGCCCCCAGATGTCCTGATCTGACTAATTACTTTAACTCTTTGAAACTTGCTAAGCATTTTGAAAACATCAGACTGTTTGATTCCAGTGAAGTTTTGAGCATATGTCCCAGCTAACATCCACAAATGTCTAGAAACAGATGTTTTCTGTGCTGCTGAGACAAACAAAAATTCCTAATGCATCTGAGAGATAAGCTGCTGCAGTATCACAAGAAGATTAACGTGGCAGACACCCCTTCCAGCGGAAGTTACTAATTCGGACCTGACTGATGCAGTTCCCATAGCAACCAATGTTTCCTGGGAAACCCGAAAAAGGTTGTCATGGCATCTTTGCTCTCTAGCCCCACCCCCCGGCCCCTGCGGTTCCCACAATAACCTTTCCAGATGGTTCCTACTGACATGATTTCATAAGGAAAACCACTATTTGAATGAACCGCACAAATAAAAGTTAAGTCAGAATATAAGGTGAAAGGAATCCTGAAATGCATTTTGTTTACTATGTAAATCATGAATGTTATCCCATAACGACTGAATCAAGAAGGAAAGTAGCATCTTTAGAAAGTTATGCATAAACTGCAAGGCATGCCCTGAATGAAATGCCAGTTACTAGGTAATAATTTTAAAAAATGCTTCTCAACAGTTTTCTTTCTTCAAGAAGTGACAAGCCAACAAATGAAATGAAAAAGCAATGTTAAAAAAAAATTCTGTGCATAAACAAACGAGAGATTCCGTGTACGTGAAATCTTACTATAAGAGACCTTCAGACTTCCTCATTAAAAGAAAAAAAATCTAGATCCCACAACAGGACTGTCACCATCACAGCACTTGGAAAGCAAAATAAACTTCATATATATAAAGGTTGCACATTTTTAACGTTGGAATTGCAGATAATCAATAAAAAAGGAGGACCAGGAAGCAACTGGATCTTGATGAAACACCTGCAAGTTTCAGCCATATGCTCAGGGCTGCCAGCAGGCAACCAGCATCAGGTGAGCACTGTGTGGTCTACTGAGTGCTGTCCCGTTTGGTACAGGGAACCAGGGAAGTGTCCTTTAAATCTAGATTGATGATATTTGCAAACCAATAGTTTTATATTAATTTTATGTCATTTGCCTTTTGAGAGATCATTTGTAACATCTTTCCCATTTTTTCCATGTTGCTAATTATCCTTTGGTTTCCATTGTTTACTGAAAAAGGATGCAAGTAATTCTTTTCAGAATAACTTTGACCCAAGCTGAACTAAAGATTATTCCATTACTTTCACCAACCTCTTGGATTCAGAACAACCTGTTTCCCCTTTAAAAAGAATAAAAGGCAGAATCTACAGCTGTTCAATTATTGGTTCAATTTAAATTTGCATAATTATTAAGTAGCAGCAGTAGTGCAGTTCTTTGAAACAAATGGTTTAAAACTGAAATAAGAGTAACATTTTATTTTGACATAGTCATTTTAAGCATTCTGCACAAATGTTCCTAGGTTTTGATAGCACATGACTATTCTATGCTTGAGCAAATGAGAGGAGCCCTATTTTTACAGCTCATAAAATATTTTAGGTAGTCAGCAGCCTACCTACTTTATTATTTGTGCATTCGAGAGAGTGGGAAGTAATGACTAGGCTATAAAGAGAAGAGGGAGGGGAAAACAAAAAATTGAGGTAAGAAATCTGTATATACCTGACTGTTGTTTGTTTTTATCTATGTGTATCTATTAAACAGTTACTTTGAACACTAATCTATCTTTTGACCTAACATTTGGTATAGTTAATGAATAGAAATTCTTTTTATGACCATTTTGATAATAATGTTAGACACCCTAAGAGCAGTCACATAAAAATAATTTTTGTATCTGTTCTTAAAAGACCTCAACATGAAGGTAACCGTGTTATTCACATTTATTCTGAAGATGTGGAAACCTCAATTAGTTCCATAAGTAAATTAGGGTTATGCCACAATCTTACGGTTCTTAAGAAAGAGTAAGTTGAAGGGAATCTTTTGTTTCTTAACCAGAGAAATCGCGCAGGTCTTGACCATAACTTTAAGGTAATATAATTGCCTCTAGTCGCCATATTGGAAGCTCCTTAAAGGTTATAGGTTCTGTGTCTTGATTTTTTTGGATATTTCATGTTTTGAATGCTACTGCCTAGCACAGAATGTAGCACCTTGTATGTTTGTTGAGTGAATCCTGTTATCTTACAAGTGTTATTTCTAGGATTTTAGTGAAGTGGTTGAAAGAATAGGCTCTGCAGTCATATTACCAGGGTAATTGAATTCTGACTCTGATGTATGACCTTGAGCAAATTACATAACCTCTCTGTTCCTCAGCTTCCTTATTTGCAATATGACCATAATAAATAGTGCTTCATGTGTTTGCTGTGAGTAGTAAATGTTAATACAGGTAGAAGACTTTGAAAAAATAATTGCATGACATGCATCTGAGGTTTTGATGAGGTTATTTTTTGTTCATTGCCCGCAAACCTTGTGCAATTAGTACCAAGCTTTGTAAATATGAAATACATAAATAATCAATGTCTTCCTATTTCCTTCCTATAATAACAATAAGAATTGCCATTTATTAAGAGTGAACGATATCCTGGGCACTTGTCAATTCTGCAAGGTAAGTGCCACTGTCTTCATTTTAGGTGGATGAAAAATAGATGGCTGAGGTTAAGACTTCACAGCTAGCAAAAGACCCAGAAATGGTTAACAGTTAGGTCATTCTGGCTCCAAAACCCATGCTATTTTTATTGGGTGACTTGAAAAATAAAATAAATCCTTAATGCTTTTAAATTTGTTCATGATACTAATTAATGAGTTCATGTAAAGAACATTGTCTCCAGAAATCTATTTCATTCAGTACACTGAAAATTAGCCCTTCTCTAATAATCAGGTATTTTTAGCTAGGAGGGTCAAATAGAGGTTATTTAAATTGAAGAGATTGAATTTTCATGGTAATAGATTCTTCTCTTATGTGATTGATTCATCTGTATGTAATCTTAAAAAGCATAACCAATTATACTAGTTGACCTGGTAGGACAATTGATTTTATCAGTTTTGAGATTAATTTCCTGTTTTATGTGTTTTAATGAGCAATATTTGATAGTTTTATGCAAATTATTGTTTTTTTCATCTCCCATACTTTGCTCCAGTTGCTGAAGAACCATGACAGAAATCAGGGCAAACATTTTGACTGTCCCTTATTAAAAAGGGAGAGATTGCTTACAACAGGAGGATTGAAGGCAGAAGAAGATTGTCAGATCATTGAAATTTGTGACGTTATTGCCTTACCCAACCACTCCGGATCTCTAAGAGAATCTGTGCTCTAAAAAAAAAGTCAGGATGTAATTTTGGCACACGTACTAGCTGCAGCCCCTTCACTAAGATCCTAAATCATTTACGAAATGAAAATAGATAGTGATTTGGGCTTAGCAAAAGTGCTAATGATTCTACATCAGTTAGCTTTGCTAGACTACAGACTTCAGTGTTGAGCTGAATTGAACATCTTGGATGTTAAAAAAAAAAGTATACACATGTCTGTGTGTAGCAAAAGACTCCTCTGAGGAGGGTGACTAAATCTGTGCAATGTATCAGCACCCTTGGGGAAATGTATGTGATCCAGCTGGTGATCCAGAGAAAAATATGAAGGTTAACATTTGTTATTATTTTATTTCTTTTATAGTGTTTTATAAACTGATATAATGGCAAATTTAAATATTTACCAGCTATGGTAACATAACCACAGACACCTACACATATCAGTTATTTCTAACCTTCTAAATGGAATTTCAGAATTGAATTTTTTGGTTCAGAATTAAAATTTTAAATGCACAGTATGAAGAAATTTTAAGTTATGGTGTGTTTACATAATACTTATTCACCTGTTTGTCATATAATGTACTCAAGTGTTAGCTTTGCAGATAGTATATAAATACAATATATAGAACATCTACCTTACCAATAGCTCACTCCTATGAGAACCATAACTATAATTTATTGACTTCCAAACATTTAAAAGTTCAGTGTTTTCTATGGCAATTCCAAGTCTTTCCTACCTTCCAGCTGGGAATAGAAGTGATAACCCCTCCCACTAAGAAATGCAAAGATGCACATGACCCCCCATCTGAAGACTATTGGAAACACTGTGAAATGGAGGTGAGGAGTACAAGACACTATTTAGGCATTGCATTTTAGGGTGGATTTTTTTTTAATTTTCTGTTTTGTATTTGACCTTTAAACTAAGGAAGATAAAATTACTAGTTTTGTGCTACTAATTTCCTGCATTTAATTGTGGCAGTTTTATATATATTAGTGAAATCACTTGTTTTTATACAGCCTCGGGGAGTAGTTGATAACCTTTGACAGAAGGAAAGTTGGAGGAGGCAAGAAGAAGGAAGAGGAAAACATCAGAGTCCAAACCTTACTATTATGACACCACTCCTAACCTATTACTGGAAAATGGCCATGGCTGTATAGCATTTGAGGATTGCATAGTTTATGTACACATGTTCAGCTTGCAAATATAATTTAATGATTCAGAGTAGTTACAGCTGGTTGTCTTGTTTTGTTGTTGGCTTTTTGGCAATACTGGAGTTTGAACTGAGGACTTGGCACTTGCTAAGCAGGTGCTCTTACACTTGAGCTGTACCTCCAGCCCTGTATTGGTTTTTAATGATGCCATGAACTAATTTCCTCTTCCAAATTGTAAAGAAAAATACATTTTACACATGAACATCTTCTTAGTTTCTCTCTTTGTCTCTCTCTCTCCCCGCCGTCTCTCTCCCTATATATACGTGTACATATATATGTGTACATATATGTGTGTATATATAATTTTTTGGACCACATATATTTTCTTTAAATTCCAAAATTTGTGCCAGCACCCGTCTGGAAAGAGGCTCCACCATTTTCTAGAGAACTGTGTTACTCTTGTGGTAACCTAAATAGAGCAGAATAGGAACTCTGCTCTGAAAAAACAAAGATGCAGATTCTAGTTAATAATAATTCAGCAATTACATGAATCAAAATTATG